ATAAAATAGCAAGGTTAAATTTAATATTATTAATAAATAATGGCAGAATAGCTAAAATTAGCATGGCTAATTAGTTAACACTAAAGGGGAGGGGCGTAATAGGGATCGTATGGTAAGTGAAGGTCATCAGGGGTTTCGTATAAATTAAAAATCGTAAAAATGTGAAAAAATCAAAATTTACAGGAAATGAACGAAAGTCTAAAAACAAGGGAAACAACGAATTGAAAGCCAATGATAGGACGGAAGCCACGCCTCCACTCATAGGACACACCCAATGACTGCCATTAAATTTGATCGATACTATAGAGCAGTGTTGCCATCGATTGTGAGACATATTTCTCAGCAAAACATCGATTGTTTGGGAATTGACTCGAAATTAGGCACAAAAACCGCGAAACGAAAGACAATTTGATCGAAAAAATGCGATTATTTTGAAGACATTTGAAGAGATATTTTGCGCAAAAAATGTTGTTATAATCGCGTGATTGCGGTCGAAGTGTTGGATCAGCTGTTGTGATGAACTCGTGGACACGCGATGGACAACAAGGAGACGCCGAGGAGACGAAGAGCGGCCGCATTGGCCGCACAGAAGAACTGGCAGAGACTCGAAGACGAGGACATCATCACCGACGACGACATCATCATCATTGAGCCCAAAGGCACGTCTCAAACAGTCAACAATGGATCCGTTGGAACCGTTAGACCGGTGGCCCAACCGGTGACCAAACCAGTGGTCGTGCAGACGCTGCAGAGGATAACGATTCCCAACACTATTATCATTGATATGAACGCAAACAACGCCATCAGAGCCCAGAAGAGGAAGTCGACCGTCGATGTGGACTACAGTCCGGCGCAGGACCTGATGAGAGGGCGCGACATACGTGTCAATCAGTTTGTGATCAATCCGTTGACATTCAGCGGCAATAAAATGGTGGCAAAAGTGGTGCCACAAGTGGTGCCACAAGTGGTGCCCAAAGTGTTGCCCAAAATGGGACCCAAATCCGTGATGATTGGGAGACAACCGACAGCTCTGTCCCGACCCAATGGTCAGCCAATGATCCGCATAGAAACAGATCAATCAAATCGAGTGATAGTTAGACAACCAATTGGTTCGCCGTATAAGAAGCCTGTGGTCACGAAATTACATCCAAACGAACCCATCATTTATCCCACTCTTGAGGGAGAGGTTGAAGAGATTGTCGGCACTTATGATGTGATTGAAGAGGATTTGATAAACAGAACTCGTGATGTTCGCACCGGTCACTTGGATATGGAAGTGGTCTGCGAATCAGATTTAGTCGACAACCCATTGCCTGAAAAAGATAATGACATAGAAGTTGTTGAGGAAGTGATGAAGGAATCTGTTGCACCAAAACCTCCACCAAAACCATTACAGCCTTTGAATAAATTGTTGAATAGAATTAAACCAATTGATGGACACCTGGAACGTCAATAGCCACTAGAACTCTACCCAACGCTCTTGAAACTGCTGCTCAAGTGACTATCACAGACGACACTGACGCTTCTTCTGTAAGAATTACAATTAGTTACCTTGGCTAGCGATCGGAGTTTCTTGTCTTACGATGAGTACAAGAAAGCAGTTCTTTCAACAAAAGATGTCAAATATTTACGCGAATCTGAAGTGACGGAACCGATAGGAGTGGTGACAGTAGTGGTGTCCGAGTCTGAGAGAGTCATCACTGTTCCCCCTCCCCCTCCGCCACCCACTGTCCGGGCCTACACTCGACAGTCTAACGTACAGACGAGTCAATCCATTTTGCATCCCATCCCAGCCATACCGGGAAGAGCTAATCCAATAAGCGTTCAAAACAACACTCAAAGAACACAACCTCTGATGCAAGCGATGCCCACATATCAGGTGCGAAATCAAACTCCAATACAAAACACAATACCCATCAGTATAGTCCCCGGGACGACACCAATGGGAACCACAACACCACTAATATTATCGCCACTCGGTTCCAATCTAATGGGTTCGCCTATTCTGCAAAACGGAATCCCTATAATACTGTCGACGTCTCCCAATAGTCAGCCCACTTATCTCATCCCTGCGTCCACTGTTTACTCGTCTAACCAACAGATGAACTACATTACAACGAATGCCAATCAAAGCATTCAGTATCAGCCGCGACCCCGAATGGGTCGACCCAGACTAAGAGCACCCGCACCCATGAGTATGCCTACCATTCCCACTCCCACAGGCACACGACCCACAGCTTTTAGATCTCCACTAATGGGACCGAGAAGTGCCCGCTTCAGAGCCCCCAACACAGGCTTCAGGACACCTAATCCTGGCTCCATTGCCACCGCCGCGCGTATGAACTCTCCCTACAATTTTGTTCCGCAGACTACGGGAACTATTGCTGTGAATACCAGTCTAACGAAGAATCAACTCTTGGAAACGTTGAGTGTTTTGAAGACTTCTGCCACTAAGAAGATAAATATTAGATCCGTTTTGGCAATAAAGCCATTGCCCAACACCTGGCCATCAAATATCGATGAACTCATCGCGTCTCTCGTCAAACTCGGTATTCAACTGTTGATGAGTTTTAGTTATAATAAGCTTTACTAATGGTTTGTGATTTATATTTCAGACAACGCTTTAATGAAAGAGAAATTCAAAGAGTCTCCGATCGCATGGATGGTTAACTCGCATCTCATTGTTCCCCCAAAATGCCAGACCTGTCAGAGAGGTGTTTGCAATCAAGTGAACAAAACACAGAATACTCGCTACGAGTATTGGAATTGCAATAACTCGAAGTTTGATCCCAATCTTGTGCCCAATTAATGAAGTGATGGCTAATTGAATCTGTTTTGTTGTTGACCTATAGGTGCAACGCCTCGTTTGTGATCGACAGACCACTGATATTCTCGGGCCCCAAGTTTGATATCCCGGCGTCGAAGCACAACAAACACTAGATAATGACCAGATAAGTTCACCTACAGCTCCTAGAGTAGTTTTGGCCAGTCTATCTCTACCCTTGGCTTTTCTATAAGTTACACACCGTTGTCAACGTTTTTCAGACAAGTAACGCGTTGCGCACCAAAGACTCCAATTTGGGCTCAAAGGCCAAGGAGGTGGGGGTCGCCAGCGTCCGCATCGCAGACTTCATGATATTGGGCGCTATGGAGGCGCAGAGCCATCGCGTGAAGCTATGTGTCGTTCAAGTGTCTGATATGAACGAAATGAATGGAAAACCACTAATATTCCATCCGATTGTCAAGTGGTTAGAGAAAGGAGTGACTGTCAATACGTGTGAATCGAAATTTATGGCACTTAAAGAGTTCGGCTTTAAAGTAGTGCTTCAGTCAAAGAATACATTCTTAACCCCCAATAAGGGCGCGAATCTGACGTCAATCGGTGTATATCTGACACACCATTTGCAGCGATTTTTTAAAGATTTCGATTTAGCGAGCCTTTCGTTGGGTGTGTTGACCAACATTTTGGATGAACTCCTGTGGAGAGAGCGCTACGGAAATAATCCGTTCACCGCTTTCTATAACATCATTAAACACATCTCAGAGCAGTGCGGACTCACCAAGGCTGACACTGTGGTCGCCCCTCAAGTGGTTGTTAACATCCCGAGCTCAGCTCGCGTCCGGTGAGTTCCCTTTCGGGGGTAAGCTGGGCAAGTATGCATATCGCCACACCGCCGGTTATCTGGGGTCTTAGCGCGGGGTCTTAATTTACTTTGGTTAAGACACAAACAGCACGAATACTATTACTCTTCGCTGCGGTTGAAGAAAAAGTTTGAGAAAACAGATTCACAGGAAGAAGAGTTGGCCAAAGATAGCATTCAATGCCATTTGTGTCAAATGTTTTTCAATAATATTCTGATTGTAAAGCATTTGTTGGATCACTTGGAGAAGGAAAGGGGCGGTCGTGTCAGGAAAGGAGACAATAATGAAACGGAATGTAAACACTGTTTACGCTTTTTCTCCAATCGGACGCTTCATATGCACGAAGAACTGGTCAGTGGTTTGCCTACTCTTATGGTATAATTATTGCAACTAATATTTGCTTCAATTGCAGACAAACCTAAAAGTGATTCCCTATTCGTGTCGTATTTGTATCGTTCCCTTCTATGCCAGACAACCCTTCATTCAACACATGAAAACCAGTCATTACTCCGGAGAAATGTAAAACAAAAAGAGTTTAATATTGAGTTAAATATTGATTTTTCTAAATTGAATTATAGGCCATATTATTGTGACATTTGTTGCTATCGTTCATCGTTTCAAAAGCACCTTTTGGATCACTTTGAAGAAGTAATTATCCGATAATTGTGTCATTTTTAGTGAACTAATGATAATTTGTGTACAAATTCAGGAACATTCCAACGCGAGTCAACTCATGTGTCCCTTTTGTATCCGAATCTTCCATTTGTCTAAATTCAAGAATTTGTCTCAATTTGTTTACCGACATCTGCAGAGCCATTACGCGGTCGCCTCTGTCTATGACTGCGATATGACACAGGAGTGTAAGTAGAGGTTTGGTCTAGAGTTCCTTGTGACGAAATTTCCGGTGTTAGGGTCGTGACGGGAGCTGCTGTCAGTCAGAGAGTAAGTAACTTACACTTCACAATTACTAAATTGAAATGTTTTATTTGTGAGTAGAGTTCGATATCACAAACTTTGTGGTTCCCGATGAGGAGAAGCAGTTGTGTGTCAGGGCTCGCGAGGAGGAGCTCTTCACACCGTTTTTGCCTACTGTTGCCAATAATAGCGATGCGCCAAACGCTGCGACCACTGATGATAATGAGCCGAATTGCGAGTTGAGTTGTGAGCCGAGCATTGATGACTTGTTGTCTATAGAGCCCGAATGCTTCATCAGTTTCAACGAACACAGCCCACCCCTCGACAACATCACTGTTCCCGTAGATTATGATTATAACGAACAACAGTTGACACAAATTTTGTCGACGAGTTTCCAATTGAAACCCGTGTCCGAAGACGTGGAGGAAGGCATCAAAACTGAGATATTGTTCAACGATAAGACAGTGCTGTGCATGGAATGCAATACTAATGTCACAATCAGTCATTACAACAGTAAGATTGTGTGCGAGAAATGCAATTATACCACACATTGTACGGCAGCTATTGACGAGCACAAGACCAGCGCACACTCATCAACCCCTCCCGACACTGCACCTCCCGATTGGAACACCGTTCTCAAGGCTTTCCCTAATTTGATCTCATATGATGTCCGTTGCGGTTACTGTGACTGTGATTTCAGTACCACTGATGGCAATCTGATGGGTATTTATTCTCTTAAAGACAATAATAATGTTGAGAATATTTTTAACCAAATTCTTATGTTGACAGCAATTCATATGATTAACTCAAATCACTTGATATCTCTCTGCAAACCATTGCATCACAATTTGAATGAACCGATTGAACCAATGGTTGAACCAGAGGGGGAACAACCGGTTGAACCTATGGAAGCAATTGAAGAGAAGGCCACTTAACGCTTGAAACTTGAATTACATTTTGTTATGAAATTAGTTGTAAACTATTGAGTCGAATGTATTGCTTTTATAGTATTGATCATACATTTAAAAGTTTTATATTGAATTTCTTAATTACATTGTTTAACTTTTGATATATATTTAACAAGTTGTAAAATATAAACGCTATTTATAAATAAACTCATTAAATTGATTTCTACCTTACATTTGGATTTGTACGGGTATTAACTTGTAAGTCACTGCAATTAAGTTATGTTAGGTTAAATGTAGGTTACAACAAGCAATTTACTATAGAATGGAAAATTGTCCGCGGTAATGCGGCCGCGTTAGATATGTGACCAGGGTATGAAAAATTCATCAACTTTGTTAAAAATTTTAACTTTAAATGTGTATAACTGTAAATATATCGGTAATCACTGGCCCTAACAGTTAAAGTTGAACTAAACCAGTGCTGCCCTCCCTCTCAACGGTGTTATTGTTGTGAAAGTGAATGAATTGAGTGAATGTGTGATGAATACAAACAGCGATTGAATTGATTGTATCGATTGGTCATCAAAACAATGCCTAAGTATTGACCACTCATTACATGATTACTGTATTTAATTGACTAACCGTTGCATTGAATGTGTTTTCAACAGATATTACTGCGATTATTGCGATACTTTCCTCACTCACGACTCGGTATGTATGGCCCTCACTGTCATTCATGTGACCACTAATTGTCTTCACGTGACCACTAATTGTCTGTGTGTTTGTGTCCATCCATTGCAGCCATCGGTGCGTAAGACCCACTGTAATGGACGCAAGCATAAGGAGAACGTGAAGTTTTACTACCAGAAGTGGATGGAGGACCAGGCTCAGTCACTCATCGATGCCACCAGTAAGTCACCACAACCACCACCACATGCCATACCTGTTGGCAATTAGTTCATATGACAGTCATATGTAGATCTAGTGTGCGATACACTGAGGTTGTAGTGAATATAGTGTCCAATGAGGCCAATAGTGGCCATGTCTTGAGTGCCGGTATTGCGGTCTCAATCATGAAATAGCGGTTCATTTGATGATAATGTGACAAATTTGTCGCGTTTTGTTGATTCATATTATAATCACATTATTTGAATTGAATTGAGTTCTCAATGCGTTTATAAACTAATAACTAATTGATAGTCAGTTCAGCCCATCGATGGAGACAAAGAGCAGCTGATCACTCAAAATGGGACCACTTATCTAACCAGGGTTTGAACCCTTTTACTAACCATTCATTCATTCATTCAAATCAATTTACGGTTCGCTTTTGGATTCATTTATTAATTAATTGCTTTTTATTAGTTATTATATTTTTGTCTCATTTATTCATTGCTTTCAAATCGCATTGAGATTACATTTAAAACAATTGTTTTAAACTTATTTCTAATTTTATAATTATTATTCAATTGGTTATCTAATACACTTGAATTTAACAAACTTACATTTTAGTCATTATTTGTTTGCACATAAATTGCATTCAAATTATTCATAATTTATACTGAAATACATTTATTTGCTTTAAAAAGTTCCCAACTATTGAGTGATGATTAATACGATCGGTTCATCACATGAATTGGTTGTCCATTGGGTTAAGACTTAAGTTTTAAGAAATGCACGAATTGTTTAGAATTATATTAATTATAATGTTAGTTATAATTAGTTATAATTAGTTATAATTAGTTATAATTAGTTATAATTAGTTATAATTAGTTATAATGAGTCAATGAAACCAATAACTAATGATTTGTTTGTTTGGCTGAAAAGCGGCCGCATTTAAGGCGAGTAAAGCGCTGTCGAGTGCCTTCGCGGGCGTACCGAAGCCCCCGCCCGGAGCTATACTACCGCCTCCGCCACCACTTCCTCCCGGCGCTCGGTTTCCTGTAGCCGGCGGTCGACTTCCAATCATACCCAACGTCCCGCCGCCACCTCTGCCTCCCGGAGCAGGAATGACAGGAATGATGATACCGCCGCCCCTTATGCCGGGTATGAGACCACCCACCGGACCGCCGCCTAACTTCGCACCGCCGCCCTCGTTGGCAGCCATACAGGCGCTGCAATCGGCTCAACAGAGACCCCCGGCCACCGCATAAATTAAGACATTTAATTAAATTCTCAAATAAAATCATTTATCATTTTATTTATCAAAATTTCGTAATCTTTATTTGTTATTAAATTTGCGACAATTTTTACATAAAATACAAATAAAATTGAAATTTCAGAGAGCGTTTGATTTTCATTATTATGATAAAAATGTTGTAAATTTTGTTGCCATTAGTTAAGAGTAGTAATGAAAATGTTTGACTAGAAGTCCAAAAGAAAAGGCATTAAAAGGACATTAAAAGCGTTAAAAACTTTTAGACAATTAATTTGAAAGTAAAGGAGAGACGAAATAAATTGAGCAAAACGTTAACACTTGAAACATTTGTTAAGATTTTGATTTAAATGAAAAACAATTAACATTAAGTCTATAGTATTGTGTGAATTAAAATTATAATAAAAATTTACATTAATAAATGGCAGCTTTTGAATAGTACAGTATTTGGCATTTAACGTTAATTTATGAATTTGTTTACAATTATTTGATTCTTTCATAAGTTTTAATGTTTGCGAACAAAATAGTCGACAATTCATTCATATATCGGGATATCATCTAATTTATCACATTTACTCTCTGTTTGTGTCCACCAAATGTACAGCTCTTTCAATTGGGAAAACTATAAACTTTCGCTTTATTTTCAATTTCAATATCATATTTAATTCAAACAATCATTCAATTCATAACAATAGGCGCAACAAATGTTATGATTGAATGTTAACTGGATTTTCATGTGTAATCCAATTAGTTATCAAATAACGCATCGATAAAATGCAAACTTGATTTTTTTAACCTTAATTTTCATATATAATCGGTTCAAAGGGAACAACTGTTTAATAGGGAAGAGCTATGAAATGCTAACATAACTGTGCTTTTCAGACATGATTTCAAATACAGTAATAAGTGCTCAATTAAATGCCTAATTAAAAAACTTTAAACAAAGTGAAAACATATGGTTTTACTTGAAATATAATCATACGATTAACAAATTATAGACAACTTTTGGACAAATCTATTCGTTTCACACGAACTATGCTTTCATTATTAACTGGGCTTTTAGTCTGACTTTGGATTCATTATTAACCCAAATCTACAATCAATTGAATCACACAATTGTCTCGAGAAGACCATCAATTATTGAGGCCTTCAGTCAGGTCTGGCCTTCAGAACAATTCACAAAAGAATTGATTCATTGATTCATTGCTTAATTCACTCGAAATGTGAATTCAATTCTTTCAGATCACTCACAACGAGGAATGTATTGAATAATTAATTAAGATTTTCTCATTTCATATAGTCTTTGAAAATAGGGTTTAATGGAAAAGTAAAGCAAAATATATCTACAGAGGACTCACTTTCCATATGTCGTGACTAAACTTTTTGATAGCTTTTGAATGCAAGTTATAAATATATAAGATTAGATTCAAAGCTTTTTATACGAAAATAGGACTCAAATATAGAAATCTTATGTATTCTTTTCAAATAAACTAAGATTTATATTAAGAATAAAAATATGAAAGAAATGTTTTAATAAATAAATAAAATGCGAAAACAGTGGAGATTTCAAACATAAACTTAAAGAATAAATAAACTGCTTTTCGTGTGAAACGAATTTCAAATAGTTATTCAAATAATTGAAAGGATCAGCACTTTTGTGATTCAAATAAAAGGCTTTAAAAGACTTTGTGCACAAATGGTCGCTAATTGTCAGACTTGAGGGCAGAGTTAGAGCCGAGAGAGTCAGTCAACTAATTAATGATTTATAATTCATATAATTAGCTATCATTTGAAATTAAGTGACGATTACATAATACTTTAGATTAATGTTTACATGAATGTGTAGTCAATGCATAGGAGAGGTTATTCGGGTTTAGAAACAGAGAAACTACAACACGATCTCTAGATTAACAGCAATACATGTCAGGGCTCTCCTCAAACACCACTCCAACTCTGCCTTAGATCCGCTGTTTTTGTATAGTATATCAAAACAATTAAAATAATTAAGATTCAGAAAACGTGAGTAATTATTTAGCAAACATTTCTTTAAATGCTAATCAAATCATGAATTGCTTTGAGAGGATATATTTAGTATTAAAATAGAGAGACAAACAAATTGAAAATTAGACTCAATTTTCATGAAAGTAATGCAAATCATCAGATCATCAAATCGTGGATTCACTCAAATCGCTGAAGTCTTCCTGAGACTCGAATCGCGCTAAAGTGGCCCTCGTTTTCAGGTTATACCTGTCCTCTGAGGCGCAGTGATTCTCGTCGAACACCTGTTCCTTGCATTTGCCATAAAAGGCCACTTTGTAGGCCACGACTGACGCGTGATCCAGTTTGCCCGGCACGAGGGCCAGTCGGTTGCCCACCCGACGCCTTCTCTCGCGCTGCTCGTACTGTCCGAACTGGTCGTCCTTTTCGTACAGTTCCGGGTCTTCCAGAATACGTCTCTTAGCTGTCGTTAGTTTCATCGAGAAGTCAATCATGAGATGGCAAAGGCTTTTAGCGGTTGTGCATCGGCTGTCGTTCTCATTCACGCCGTTAAGTAACAGATCTTCCATTCGAAGCAAAGATAATTCATGTCTTTGTTCCGCCGATACGACCGGCAAATCAGGGTTTGGCGCCGGTCTGTGCGCTGAATCCCGATCCGGATTACTATTTGATCGCTTGAGACGACTTTTGCGAACTATTCAAACATAGAAAGTATTTAATACTTTCAAATCAAAGTACAAACACGAGACTAACCATTCGCCGGTCTGTGCGCTGAATCCCGATCCGGATTACTATTTGATCGCTTGAGACGACTTTTGCGAACTATTCAAACATAGAAAATATTTAATACTTTGAAATCAAAGTACAAACACGAGACTAACCATCATTTGATGTCTCACTGGAAGCACCGTTAGCTTTACTCGAATAGGGTTTGTCTTTCTTAGGAATTGCAAACTTTCCGACCACTGGATCAAAGTTATCCGAAATGCCATCACTGGTCAAGAAGACTATATCTCCGCGTTCGACAACAGTCATGGCAACCGTCAAGTTATTCAACTCGGGGTTTGTGCCGTCGACGGGACCCAACGCCCCCAAAGCATCTCTCATGTCTCGCATCGAATAGATATCATGAGATCCTATATTGCAATCAAATTCATTTAACCGGATATTCGGCCATTAATGGCATAAAAAAGTTAACAAATTGTCTCAAACCTTGAGTTATCTCTCTTACGCCATGTTTTTCGTTGTAAACATAAGCGAGAGAATCGCCGACATTACACGTGCACACTATAAATCGATCGGAATTCTTGAGCTGACAAACAATGGCTAACATACAGATTCATCATTAGTTGCGATCAGATATTGACTTAATAAATGGGTTTGCGTACCGGTGCACAGGGTTGTGAGTAAACCGTTTTCCTGTAGTATCAGATTGTGTGCGGCATTGAAAGAGCGAAGGAGTGCTACAAATATATCCTGAATATTGTGAGCAAACAGGAAGTCGTCAAATATATCATCAATTAATCGAAGGCTTCAATAATAAAAAACTATTGGATATGCTTTACAAACCATTGTATTCTCAATACGCGAGCCCTCCGAATACAAGGCCTTATTTAAGTAGTCGATAGCGCCGTGGACTGCACACCGGGCCGCCAGACATGACTTCTCGCCCCAATTGACGCCATCGGCCAAAGCCATGATCGCACTGTTCTCACGGACGCACAGACCAAACGCGTCGGCAATCGGCTCACCTGAAAGGCATTACCCGTAAGTTTAGATATAAGTTAAGTTTTATCGCAAATATTCATAAACAAATCAAATGTGGGCTAAATATATGCAGTCACTTGACAAGTAATCGCTAAAATTAGCAAAAATTAGTAAATAGATAACAGACCGGCTTTTTCTTTAGTGGAGGGATGGCACTCGTAGAGAGTGGTAGCCATTCCATAGGCATTGTCAGTACCGGAGTCCCAGTTGGCTATACCAGCGATCTCTTCGCCTAAAGCCAATGTCGCGCTCTTATGGAAGCTCTCAGTCTCTGAACTAATTATTGATGGCTTTTGTTCCCAATTCTCTTCATTAATATTATCCCTATTATTATTGTTTTTGTTTTTATCGTTGTTTTCATTGCTTTTGCTAATAATTCCGTTTATGTTCTCATTCTTAAGGAACGGCAGACTATTATTGGATTCGTTGTAATCTTCATCGATAAAGTCCACGTCCGGATCCGTTAAATCAAAAGGTTTTGAGCGACGATTGACAAGAGTTAGTCCGCCTCCCGGGCCCGTCGAGGCCGTCACCAATTTGTTCGACAGCTTATGGACCTCTTTGACCGGCAAATCATAACACGTTTTGCCGCAAAGTATATCCGGATGACTCTTATTTAGTTTTCTAGTAAAATGTACAGAATATGCACTTTATTATCCACTCAAAATATGTCACCAAAAAAATCTAGTCTTTCGTAACTTATATATAATTTGATGTTTAAATAAAGTTAATATAATAATTAAAATGCAAACAATTTGTCTGAAATAGTGGTTTGCCTCAAACTGGCTATAACTCAAAATTCATTTAATTAAAATGAATAATATTTCTATAAAACAACACGAATTTGTAATCAATTTTGGGATAACTATATATTTAAATATATGTATATTATTATTAAAATAATAAATCAATTCAATTTATAGATTAATGTTTGATTAAATTATATATCTCTACAAATTATAGTCTCAACTAAAATATATTTGCATTTAATGGCAATCGACTTGTTTTAATATATCATGGCATCTAATCTTAAGTCTAATTTTAGGTTTACATTCACGTCCACTAAAAGCCAAACTCAATGAAAGGGTCCAATAGTTTGATATGAAGTGTTAAAACAAATAATAATGGATTGAAAAAGTCTTGGACTCAATGGTTGAGTTAAGCAACAAAAGAGTGAATCATTGGTATAACAAACCATTGAAAGACATTCACAAGCGATTGAAACACACTTTCAAACAGTGATTGACTGAAAGGAAAAACCAGTTCTTGTAAAGTCTTTGAAATGATTTTTATTTTAAAACTTTTATTTCGAAATTATTTTCCCTTTAATCAGGTTTTAAACCCAAAAAACTAAATCAAAAATCTAATAAATAAAACTGTATTTCACACAAAAAACAATAGTTTTTGTGGTGAAACATGAATTAAAAACACAGATTAATAGATAGATAAGAGATATTAGATAAACAAATAGATCTTTGAGTGTCTCTCTCACCCATTGAGGTATCTGTTGATGAAGGAGCCATTGGTTGAGTGGATCTGTTGTTTGGATTCAATAAATGAATTCCTCTTTGAATTGTGGTTACAATTAGATAATTGACTCAATTGTCTGCCAATCAGTTCACTGAATCTCTCCCTTATGTTTGCCATCATTTCAATCAAAACAAACACGCGTTTATCATTCAAATCAATTCAATGTATGTATTGTTTGCCAGTGTTTTGACGACAATCTGCGGATCCGTTGATCGCCTCTTCAATCAATCAATGGTTGAGACAATAAATTAAATAAATAATAAACCTATGGATCAATTGGTTGAGAGGTGGTAGTGATGGTAGTGATGGTAGTGGTGCTCATCGCACACATCAGAGTCAATGAACTTGTCTTTTGATTATCGATTCATGAGATGATCACATCATCCAAGAAGTGATGCTTTGGGAGCCAATCGTCGATCATATGACTGATGGACACAACCACGACATCCACTCAATTGATAAGTGTTTGAGTCAAATATGACAGCAATTATAAAGACTGCAACGAAATGAAGAAATGGGAGGAACGGTAGGTCTTCAAGGTATGGATGGGTTGGTCTGGTGGCCAATACAGCGATGAGTCACTTGTTGTACGACTACTGGACTACTGATGCCTTCATTAACACATAATAAGTAGTAATCGATGACTGAATGCATTAATTGNCGGTAGGTCTTCAAGGTATGGATGGGTTGGTCTGGTGGCCAATACAGCGATGAGTCACTTGTTGTACGACTACTGGACTACTGATGCCTTCATTAACACATAATAAGTAGTAATCGATGACTGAATGCATTAATTGCTGTTTCATATGATATGAATGCAAACAAAACAACAATAGAGTGAATAGAGTGTCAGTTGTTGTATGTGTTGGCTATGAGTACTACACTACAGAGCGATTAGACCAAGATTTACCACTGGCGTGGCTTAAATGCAGTGCCTTTGCAGTAAACATACACTGAAATAGTGACCCCCGTTATAGGTATCGTTTTATTAGTAGACGTTGCCATTAATGANCATTAACACATAATAAGTAGTAATCGATGACTGAATGCATTAATTGCTGTTTCATATGATATGAATGCAAACAAAACAACAATAGAGTGAATAGAGTGTCAGTTGTTGTATGTGTTGGCTATGAGTACTACACTACAGAGCGATTAGACCAAGATTTACCACTGGCGTGGCTTAAATGCAGTGCCTTTGCAGTAAACATACACTGAAATAGTGACCCCCGTTATAGGTATCGTTTTATTAGTAGACGTTGCCATTAATGAGTACAGGAAAAAGACTTTTTTGTGGACACCTGCAGTCAAATGAAACTATGAGACAGTCAGTCGGCGGCATCAACTCGTATCGACACCAAAGTGTTGTGTGAATCCTTTGACATCTAATGCCGCACTCATTCATTTACACACAAACTCTACTCACAATGTGTATCGATGGCACCGATTGACTGTCTCATAGTTTGATTTGACTGCACGCGTCCCCAAAAATGTCTTTTTCCTGTACTCATTAATGGCAACGTCTACTAATAAGACGATACCTATAACGGGGGTCACTATTTCAGTGTATGTTTACTGCAGTACTGCACTCCACCCCCATTCCCCCTGGTAACTCTTCACGTGATTGCTCTGTATATATTTTGTATTCATTTGATGTAATTATTAAATTATAATCTTTTAACTAATTCTCGTAAGTGTTTATAATTATATTCAATCTTTTTGATTTTATTTTTATCATTTATCAAAATGTTATTAAAATTCTTGAGTTAAAAACTTTTGATGTCTTATCTGATTGTCAGACAATGTGTTAATAATTACTGTAAAGCGTATAATGTTTTGATATAAATTTGTTATTATAACACAGTAATTATATTATTATTATGTAAATTAATTGCTTATTCGTAACATATTAAAAGGAAACTTTTATTGATAAAAACAAATAAGATTTTAAAAATACCTATACATACAACTATATATATAAAATGCATTAGTTTAAATAAAATTACTATTCAAATACTGTAGGCATAAGAATGTTCATAAAAAATATGATAGATTGAAATTTGATTTATTTTTTAATACAGGTAAAATTGACATAAATTTTTTACCCTACATTGAGTATCATTAATTAAAAGTATATCTGGCTGATTTAATTGTTATAAATATTTGCATATAGTGTAGATATTTAAATATTAAAATAAAACTTTTTATTTTAAATTGAACTTTTAAATAACTTAACTGATAAATATTATGATCACGAATATTTTAATATTTTAGTATGAAGTTATAAATTTTAATTAGTTTAGTTTATTGTAATGACAGAATTTAATTTATATTAAATTAATATCTAGTAGAAATAATGTATTTGTATAGAAATCGTGACTTGTATTTCAATATTAATGAGATTGTATTGAATATCATAGTCTGATCTAGGATCAAATTAGTCAAATCCAATCGCGATTACATTGCAATCATGATACAGTATAATAGCATAGGTTTTATGCAAACAATTCAAGGAGTCGTTGAAAAATGCGGACTTCACGCAAAAGTGTGTGATTTATTTTGTCATATTTTACTTTATTTACTTGGTTAATTTATTTGCTCACACTTTTTAATGTCAAACAATTTTTATTATTCGTATCTGAACTTTAAACGTGTTTTTATACGTGGATTATATTGATTTAAGACTAGATAAGGGGTGATAAGAAATTTTTAAAAAACTTCTCATCTATGCTCATTAGCTAGCAAAAATAAAATAACTTAAGCCTCATAAATTATCATTAATTAGAAAGTTACACAATAAAATAAAAATATTAGCTTATTAATAAAAATATGTGTTTTAAAAAATACTATACACGAAATACTGGATATTTAGTAGTTAATTAAAATTAGAAATAGCCAAGGACGTTATTCAATAAAACTTGTGATATTCTGTAGACTATGATTCATAGGATAACGATTTCATAAGC